AATGAGAGAGGGAAAAAAAATCACTTCAGACTTACAAACCAGCAAGGGCTTATTTGACAGAAAGGGCAATTGCATTTGGTGGATATGTTTTAGAGAAATCAAATTCAGGAAGTTTAATTTTGTTCTTAAGCCAAGTCATTAAGAGATCTATGAGATGAACTGCCATTAAAGAAGTACAAGCTAGTTAAACCAAAACATTTCAAAACATCTGAAGAGGTTAAACAAAACACATACATTGTTACTTGCCACAAAGGAAGACTAAAAGTAAATTCTAATATTTCTTTCTAAACATGTTCCTGGTAAAAACACTAACCTCAAAACAAGTTTGTGATTTAATCCTCTACTGTTGTCTGAGAATTGTGGGAATAAAACCCATATCAGCCCTAGTCCCCTACTAGTGTACCTCAGGATTAATCAATTCTCTTGCACAATAAGACTCAAAGCTATTTGCAAATTATTTTATTTACCCTGGCCTCTGGATCCTTTTCATAGACAGGAATCAATGTATTTGGGAGCCTCAGTAGGTCAGATCCATTGCTTATTCCTGTAATTACCCCCAAAGATCTTTATTTGGATCTTTTCTGGAAGGGGAGGCTCCTCCCATTTTCTGAGTTATTCACTGACTTGGGATTTTTAACACAAGAGCAACTGAGCACTGACAATGAACCTAGTGATGTAGTAAATGTTCAGTGGGTATACTGAAAGTATATCAGGTGGGCCCACTCATTCTTTTTGGTATAGCTATTCAGAACATTTTCAGTTAATATGATGCAATAGTGAGCAAAACCAAAAGACAAGGGAAAAAAAAAAAAGCTTGGTTAAAATCTCCCAAAAAATTGGTTGCAAAATTTCTGGTTTCCAGTATAATTGGACTATCTCTCCCAACTCAACTGAATACATTTTCATAATTCTAGGTTGCTTGGAAGAATTTCTGAAGTCAGCAGGCCATTGTTAATTTCTTTCTCAGGAAGAGTCACTGAGTATATTTACAGAAAGTGACTTTCCATTACCCATTTTTCTTACAGAGATGGTTCATCTTTAGTCCCAAATTTCTAGATTTCACAGCTTACAGTGTGGTTTGGCTATCTTTTTATATTAATTTTTTAATCAGTGTGAATAAATGTTTTTTTCTTTATGTTAACATAAGCAAAGATTCTAGGAAACTAACTTTTTAAAAACTTAATTCAATTTGGAAGTAGAAGTTACTCAATATTTGGTATTAGAGGTAAATCTGGTGTTTCTTTTCTTCAGTGAGTAATGTTATAAAATTATGTATATATATTTTAGGGACTGCAGATGAACTGAGGTTGTTTATATGTAAAATATTCTTAAATTAAGAAAATAGTACAACTAGAATACTTTCAAAATCCATGAAGTTGGGCTCTTCTACAGTAAAGATGACACTATTTTATTTGATGTCTAACAAGTAATAGAGATGAAAAATGTTCCATTTATGATAACAAGTTTCCAAACTGTTAGTAGTATGAAAGTAGGAAAATCCATAAAACATGGCAAAAGACTTTAAGAGAGGTATTTTCATATGTCCCATATGGGCAAATCATTAACTGTTCTTTCATGTTATGAATCCAAAAGTATCTATATTATATTTTATATTGTGTTAAAATCAATATAACGTAATATAAAATTCATCCAGAGGATAATATATTTATGTATTCCTAAGGCATTTTTAGTTGAAGCATTTACTTGGACTTTAATTTTTTAAATAATGCTGCTCAGTTTCCACCTGTATCATTCCTCCAGGCTCATGGCAGAGTCAACAGTCCTAGCACCTGGGAAATCCATCAGACTCATCCGACTGGAGTTTTAGAAGGCAGACACATCATTTTTTTAATATTCAGTTGCCTTTCAAATTCACTGAACAGAATTCCTTATCTCATAACAAAGATTTTACTAGAGTATTTATGTGTAATTTATCAGAATAGCTGCCAAGATGTTCAATTTTTTTTTTTTTTTAAGGCAGGAGCTTTATGGAAGACAAGATTGAGATTTAAAAAGCCTGATTTTTCATGTTCTTCATTTTCCCTGTGGTCTCTGAAGTTTAGTTCATTGGTAACCGCCATGTTACTGTTCCTGTCTCAACTGACTCCTCATTACTCAAAGCCAATAATAATTGCTAAATATGACTAATATCACATGGAAGGTCACAAAGTTCACTGCTAGCTCTCATTCCAGCTCAAAATGTTTTCAAGGTTAATAGATTGATTTTGAGCTGAGATATGATGCATTAATAAAATGGAAGAAAATGAAAAATTTGGCATCACCAATATGCGGATAGTTTTAAATGACTCATTTGTTACATTTGGACTGTAGCCATGAAATTCATTTGATATATATCACATAGTTATATTCTAACCTAGACACTAGAAAATAAATTAATGATACATTTTAACATTAGACAATTTTACACACACACACACACAGTCCAGGATGAGAATTAGGGCACTATAATTTACTAACTATTCCAGCTGAGGAATATTATGTATGTAAAGGAGAACAAGATTGAGACTTCACTAAAATACAGTTCAGTTAAAACTATAATTCTAAGAGGCTGGTAGCTGATTGCTTCCCTTGGTCTCCTTGCTTGGAGCAAGGACAAATGAAATTCCTGATTTCATCTCAGTTCTGTGCTTCTTATACTCTGCGGGGCCCTGGTTTCAGTCTACAGAAATCTCTTATTTTGCCTGCACCCTTGATTGGATCTGATAAGAACTCTGGGAAGCCAGAGAGTTCCTTACCACTAGCCTTTTTGATCCTGCCCAATGCCTGCTTACGGGCCCATTCTTACAACCAATTCCTGACCTTGAATTTCAGTTGATGTTCCATGAGTCTGAGGATCCCTGGCCTCTGGTCCTGGCCTGGACTTATGGTCTGGCCCAGCTTTGCCACCAAATAGAAGGTAGCATTTCCTGAGAGTTTTCCAAGTCTCTTTAGGCTTTATGGTCCTTATTAAGAACAAGTCACCAAAGCCTGTACTTTCTTCCTTTCAAATGTTGTTCAATTCACCATTCCTCTTAATTCTGTAGGGTCTAGATTGCTAAATGCACCTTTATTTATATAGGTGCACTTAGTGCACCTTATATAGATTGCCTTTGTTTTCAGGCTCTTCCTAATTCCTAATTAGCCCAACCATGATGAATATTGCGGTGGGCTTCTCTGCCCCTCCCCCAACATCACCAGTGACTTCCCCTTTCCTTACAGAACAGCCCACAAACCTTGGTGTGGCTTGGCTTGGCTCTCAAGGTTTCCTCGCTGTTGTGCCACATTCTTGTTCTCACTGTTCTTAGGGAACAGGTGGATCTGTGATCTGCTCTTGACTCAGTTCTCCCGATTGCTAACTGCAAGTTTAGGAAGGTCGCTTAATCTAGCTGAGCCTCTGTGTTTCACCTCCATACAATGATGAAAGTACAATCTTCCTTACAAGTTTTTATGAGGATTAGTCACACATTGCATAAAATTCCTAGTGTGTTCCATGGTATGTGGCAATGGCTCAAGGCCCTTGTAAGAAGGCTTTGTTCCTCGACTACAGCGGTTACCACTTTTTGCCTCCTCAATTCCCACTCTGTCTTTAAGGCCATGTCAGATCCCATTTCCTTCACAAAACCTGCTGTGATTTACGATCTCAAAATGCAGTAGTGCTTGATCACTTCCTATTCTTATCATTTCTTAGTTTTTCAGGAGTGAGGGTCTTGTCTTCCCCACTAGATCGTAAGTTCCAGGAGGACAAACTAAGAGTTTGCCCTCTGTCACTAATATTTTTGCTGCTTCTTGGCCTTGCCTGGTTCCCTGCATTCAGTGTCCCCTTGCCCCAAGTATTTCTGAGGACCTTCCGAATGTGTCTCCGGGTTCATTACTATTTCCCTTGTGTGGTGTCCAGTGTTTGTTGAGTACAGTAATACTTGTCCAAGACAGCCTCATCCGTACCTTCCCGGGCTACCTCCCTGAAGCATTTCTACTGTCCTCATCGTCATCCACATCATGTCTGCTGAGCACACTGGCTACCCTCCCTGCAGGCTCTCATGTCCACTGATCATCAGCTCATCACACTTCGGCCCTGGAGTCTCGCTCCTTGTGCCCCCAGCGTCTTATGAGAATTTTTAGGAAAACAGTCGTTATGTAGGGAAACATATTTTCCCTGGGATATGAATTTATTGGAAAGCTGCCAGGAAAAAAGCAGGGTGAAAGATTCAGAAGCCCCTCATCCAACTTGTAATAAGGCTTTATTCCCCGGTGAAGTCTGGACCCTTTTTCCGTAGGCTGGTTGCCTCAGTACCTCCAGCAAGTAGACTCCTAATGAGGCCCCTCCCAGCTCACCAGCCACCTCTCATTTCCAGCACTAGCATCCGCTTAGCAGCAAGCTAGAATCTGCTTTACCTTCTTTAATAGCACACTGCTGGATACACACATAAAAACCAGCTAAAGATCAGTAGACCAATTATCTTGGTCCAGTCGTATAAATAAAATAATTCGGAGCATTACGTTGAATCTGTACCATGGAATTTTATGTTTTTAATTCCTGTTTTGAAATTGTTTATCTATTGTTTATCTTTTTTTAAGGTTTATTTATTTATTTGAGAGAGAGAAGGGGGGCGGCAGAGGGAGAGGAAGAGAATGTCTTAGGCAGACTTAGGCAGAGCATAGAGCCTGCTATGGGGCTCCACCTCATGACCTGAGCCAAAACCAAGAGTCAGATGCTTAACCAACTGTGCCACCCAGGCGCCCCTCTTGTCTACCATTTTATAAAATATGAATAAAGGAGAATAATGTCTGTTATTTGAAACATGCATAGAGGAATTTACAGCACAAGTCCAAATAACCAGGCTGGGGAAGACTAAGCTTGGCAAAAGCGCATGTTCAAAGAAAAACTGATTTTGCTTTATGCCCTTTAGCCAGACAACACCAAAGTACTTCCAACCCTAGACTGAGAAGGCATGAAAGAATCTTGCTTAAGGTCCTTTTTTTTAAAAAAAAGATTTTATTTATTTATTTGACAGAGAGAGAGAGAGACAGCGAGAGAGGGAACACAAGCAGGGGGAGTGGGAGAGGGAGAGGGAGAAGCAGGCCTCCCGCCGAGCAGGGAGTCCGATGCCAGGCTCGATGCGGGGCTCGATGTGGGGCTCGATGCGGGGCTCGATGCGGGGCTCGATCCCAGGACCCTGGGATCATGACCTGAGCCGAAGGCAGACGCTTAACCAACTGAGCCACCCAGGCGCCCCGCTTAAGGTACTTCTGAATCTACACAAAGTCCTGAGAATTCAACACGGCTCCCTCGTGATTTTGGTATCATCATTAGCTGTCCCTGGTCCCGGTGAGCCTCATCCCCAGTCTGGTACACTTATGGTTCTTCTGTTAACTCTTCCTAACCTTCCCTGAGAGGATGAGAGCGATCCTGAGAGGCAGTGATGGAACCTGCTAGAGGCCTCTCATGCAGCAGTGCCCTGGCCTGCAGGAGTCCTCCTCGGATTCTGAAAGAAACAAGAAAACGTAAAGGGTCATTTGAAGAAAATTTTTTTAAAAATTTAAAAAAAAAGAGAGAGAGAGAAAAGTACTATGTTTCCCTATGGCTTACCCTCTGGTTTTCAGTCTCCTAACTATAACGGCTTTACCTGGTTACTTTAAGGATTTCAAATCTGCATATAACACCCAACACAAATACATACCCCAGACAGATGCATACACACACACAGAGACTCTTTCTAAATTGAAAATATTAAGACAAACCAACAAGAGATCAATTTCACAGTTGTGGCCATTTTCTAGTGACGTAAATTGGGGCAGTAACTCTACGGAATTGATTTTCCAGACGATATGAAATACAGATATGGCATGCACAGAACATTAGAACCAGAAGTGACCTTGGAGGTCATCTAATTTTATTTCCTCTATTTGCACATGAAGAAACTGAGGTCTCAGGAAATGATATAATTTGTTCAAAGTCAGGTATATGTTCAATATTAAAGCTTGGCATTAGTTCCCAGGTCTCTCTAAAATCTACCTTTTTTTCCATTCTGTCCTCACTTGCCCTCCCTTGGGGCTTACAAGCTGAAGTTGTCTTCTTAACCCTGATTTTTGTACTGGAGGTTTTGCAAACAGCTATCCTGCTCAAGTGTAAACATGTTTTGTGGTTTCCACACATCCTATGTGTAATATATTCTACAACAGCTGAAAGACTTGAAAGAAATCTAATCGATACTTCCCTTATTTCTAGTGTTTGGTACATTCATTTAAGAATTCTGTCTCTTTCTATACATCCCCCTGCTTTGCCCCCAGTTTTGTGGAGGAGTCATTTCTGAGACTTGAAGGTTTAGTAACTTTAAGCTCTTATCAGAAAGCAGGTGAAAAGCAGGAGGAGGAACCCCATTACCCAGTGTCTGCTGGTCCTCATAAATTACATGCCTTTTCCTTTTTGCTGTTTAATTTCATAAGATCATCCCTCTACCAGTCACCTTGGGCAGGAACTTACAGAGACAATAGACAATCTAGGCAGATGCTTGAAGAGAAACTGTTGCCAGGGGGTGGGAAAAAATGGATGGAGTGGACAAATTACAGGGTTGTCTGTTCAGTCATGAGAATGGAAACATGTCTGTGAATCAATGTATGAAAAGGATATTTAATAGGATGGGAGAAGTCACTTTAGCACCTGTTCCTTCGGCAGCCGAATGTGCTAGTGCCAATCACTCACAGTCTGGATCCACTCTCCAACTCTCCAAGCAGAAAATGACCTCACCTCTTATTCTTTAAGGACTGAAGACACAGAACAGGGTCCATTTTTAACAGAACTGGGAACAATAACCATGGCATTGACTGCTAGGAAAGTCTGTCTTAGAAGCTGGCCTGAAGCATTGAGGAATCAGAGCCAGGGGAGAGAGAAGGAAAGAGATTGGGAGCTTGTTCAAACACAACCACATGGAATGAGGAGTGCAGAAAATAAAAAATCTGAATAAAAGGTGAACTCATTTTACCCTGAAAGTTACTAAGCCTAGAGTCATAAATGCCAAGATAAAGAGGAAGAGGCTCAGCTAATGCTTTGTATTACAATCCGTTATGGTAATGGAAATTTTTCTTTTGAACTGTAGCTGTCTGTGTTGACTTTGGTAAAGTGGAAATTCAGGCCCATTGATTGGGAAAGGATTCTGAGTAAGTCTCAGCAGGACTCAGACCAGAGCTTTGCACAGTCCCCCACAGAAGGGCACCCTTTGCAGGGATCACGCAATGAAATGTTTATATAAGCTTATTTTTTTTCTGCACTTCTCCAAAACTTGAGGCTTCCTCCATGAGGAAGAATGCATTTCATCAGAGACTCTCACTGAGCTCAGTTTTATTCTTTTCCACGCACCTAAACCAGCATTGTGGTGAACAGTGCAAAGAACACAACATCATGATTCTCTTGGCCTCAGAAATGCATTACTACACTTACGGTTATTCTATTTCTCCAGAGATGAATAATGCATCTAGAACACATTTCCAAACAGCTTACAACTTTTCTTAAATAAAACTCAGTCTTTTTATTGTATTCCAAATTTCTGGCTGATTCTCGACTTATGTTCTCTAAGAGTTTCTCCAGTGAGACACTGAATAGCCTTCAGGACCCAGGTGTGGATCTCATTCAGTTATTCCCCCACAGTTTACAGTACAGAGACATATAGGTACAGTGCAAAGACATATAGGTAAGCAAATAACAAAGATGACACATAGTAAAATTATAAGAAAGTAATACATAGGATGTTGTGAGAGTGTAAGGAAGGTGGTAATTAATTCAGCCTGCCAGAGGGAGTTCAGGGAAAGTCTCACAGAAAAAAAGATGTCTGAGCTGGTTCTTGTGATGGAGGGTAAGTTGGTATTTCAAACAGGAAACAACATTTGCAAAGGCCCAAAGGTGTGAAGATATGTGACACATTCAAAGAACAGCCAGTAGTCTGATCTGGCCAGAGTGTTAAGCGCATGGGGTAGAGAAGGTGGGGGGCTGGGCAGTGAGTAGCAAGAGATGAAACCAGAGAAGTAGATGGCAACTGAACCGTGAAAAGCTCTGTACCAGATGCCAAGGACTCAAAACTTCTTTTAGCAAAAGAGCAGAGAACCCCCTTGGCTTGTCTTCAGTGCATAGACATCCCTTGATTTTTACCTATAGGGGTTTCCCCTCCCCAAGGCCTGGTAACACGTTCTTCAAGTCCATTCACTTCCCTCTTAACCTTCCAGGAAGACTACATTTCACAGCTTCTCACACAGGTATATGGAGCCATGTGATTGAGTTCTAGCCAATGTAATGTGGGCAAATGCAATAGACGCCACTTCTGGAAAACTCTGGTGAAGAACTCTGAGACTCCAAAGATGGCGGAGTCACCAGATGGAAGGATCGGGGTGCCAGCATGCTGCATGGGAGGCCATTCATCAAATACTCAAGACTCTGACTTCAGTGAGAAATAAACTTTCTACGCCATTAAAGCTACAAGGAGTTGGAGATGGTCCATTCTGGTAGTCAGCCTATCCTAATTCGGTGGCTGAAGAAATTCTCAGGGGAAAAGTAACTGCTTGCACATGATCTATCCCAGTGTATGCCTAAATACCAGTGGCGCCGGCTCACTTTTCTCCAGCAGGACTGCCAGTGCACATGTCTAGCCTCAGCTTCTCTCTGACTCTAACTTACAATAGGTTTGTGGTGGTTCCCTCATTCTTTTAGCCCTGACTGACCATCTCCATAAGGCCGTGCAGAGCCAGTATCATAAAACCAAGTCACCTCTCCCCTTGCTACTCTCGACCTGTACACATCATGCAGGGTATCAATTGTGTTTTAGGAGACCCTTTCCTCAAGACCACTCTTGATTTTATTTTGATTTGATTTAATCTGCATATAAATATAAGGAGTGTTTGGGAGCTGCAGCCTATAATAGGTCTAATCTCCCTGCCTTTCTGGAGATAAGCCTGAATGAAATTTACAGGAAATTCTTCCAGGAAAATCTGAACCAGTTCTGAAGAAGTGAGAGTAGGAAAAGGATGAAGAGTCAAGGATGAGAACACCTCACTTGGAATTCTAACACTTGTTGTGATGGGCTTGTAACATGGCTTGAATCACTGTTTTCTGACCCGTTGTTTGAAAAGAGTTTTTTTAATCCAGAGACAGGCTAATCTTTTAAGATTTGTCCTAAAAGATTTCCTTAATTGAATGTAACACTCAGTAATTTGAACTCATTTCACTATCTGATACCTTAAGTTTTTATATTCTCTGATTCTGGGTGGAAGTGTAGCATAGCAATTCTGAGAGGAAGCTCAGAACTCCTCTGAAGGGATCCAATTATTGAACATGCTGTGATAAGGTTACCTTCATGTTTTCAGTATTCCTGCACTGAGCTTTATGATCTCACAAGCTACAACTGGCATCAATTTAATGAATTATTTCTCAAAGAAATCTGTAACAGCATTTTACAAAGCTTTATTATTGCCATATTTGAGTCTTCTTTAAAATTGTTTTTCTTTTTTTTTTTAATATTTTATTTATTTATTTGAGACAGAATGAGAGAGAGAGAGAGCACATGAGAGGGGGGAGGGTCAGAGGGAGAAGCAGGCCCCCTGCCGAGCAGGGAGCCGGATGCGGGACTCGATCCAGGGACTCCAGGATCATGACCTGAGCCGAAGGCAGTCGCTTAACCAACTGAGCCACCCAGGTGCCCTAAAATTGTTTTTCTTAAAGCCTGCTGAAAATTTAGACAAGATGATATGGGTTATTCCACAAAAATGAGAGTTCCCAGAGGAAGAATCTAGAAAATGATTCAACACCATGGAGTCAGACTCCCCAGGATGAAATCTTGGCTCTACCAATAAGATGCCGTAGGACTTTGGAACAAGGTTCTCAACCTCTCTGTGCCTCAATTTTCTCTCTGTACCTCAAGTTCTTTCTCTACCAAGAGATTCATATCAGTATCTGCCTCATGAGGCATGGAAATTGTATCATTTATTCACAATTATCCATTTCCTTTTCCTCTTTTTCAGTTTTCCCTGTAGACATCCTCATCCCACTGACTGGGGATGTGGACCTTGTGACTTGCCAAGATGGGCCATAAATAGATGAGCCATTTGCCTCACCTGAGCTGAGGTTTTCAGAGGCATTGCATGTTCCCACGATGTTCAAACCTTCACCCTGAGACCATCAAGTTTCATGCAGTGGCTACTTCTTTATCCTGGATTCTGGAATGAGAAGACACAAGGAGCAGAGCCCAGATGAGTCCAGCAGAGCTGCAAATATCCAGAAATTCCAGAACTTTTAGGGTTGAAAATTGAAACTTTCTCATTTCTAACAGGTTAAAGAGTCTCAAATTAAGATGAAGATTGCTCACAGATCCAATACACCCATTGTCAAGTCTACTGATTAGATTAATATGGCTCTAGTAAATTATCTCAGTTAGACAAATGGCTCAGGGAAAAGAAATTAAGGTGCAGTCCGTCTGAAGCTTGATAAGATCAAAGTACCTATGAAGGTATTTCTTAAAAAGTAATGGGTATGGCTATTGACTTACATGGAACTTACTGGAATCAAACTGATTAAAAAGAAAAACAGTTTTATAGAGAAATCTATTGCCAAAGCACTCCCAACCTAGATTAGAAGAGACTATAAGTATTCAAATAAAATAACCCTTTGGTCTCTAATCTTCTATAGGGGCGAAGCAATCTGAGATAGCTTCTCAGTCACAAATGGCATGTTTTCCAATACTCACGTCAGAAGAGGCCAAGGAGGAAAATGGAGGAGGAAAAGCTGTCCAGTCAAACCTCATGGAGAACAACAGGCTGAGAAATGACTCCCAGAAAATGTAACTGGAATATATCAAGGAACATTCCCTACCATCAGGGTGGACAAGCTTGCGACTTTTGCTCAGTGGAACATCAGAACTGCTACTAACCAGTGACTGGTATGTACCTCCCATTCTTGCAATCTTTTAATAAGGTGTCCCTACTCCACTATTGTATTATATTAGTTTTGGGGGAGGAAGAAGACAGACAACTTTTCACTTTAGTTCATGGGTCTCTAATCAAGAAGAGCAGCAAGGAGATATAATATATATTTACGAGATTCTGGACTTCTGAGCCCAGTGCCTGGTAGTTTTAAGTATCTTGGGAAGAGGTGAGAGCATCTTGTGGTCAGAAGAGCAAATTGGGGCAGATTGCATTTTTTTGTGTATGATTATTTGTCTTCTCATGGCCGTTACCAGCCTTCTAGGTAAATGGAGTATCCTTGTTTGCTCCACTGGCTTTGGATGTGGCTATGTGACCTGCTTTGGCTAAAAAGATATGAAAGACTATGTTTGTCATAACTGAAAAGATGATTTCAGAAGCATCGCAAGTTTCCACCAGCCTTTTTGCTATCTCAGAAAGCATCTTTAACCGGGTTTTCAGAATGAGAACGCATGTAGAACTCAGCACAGGCCTGCAATGCTGCAGCTGACCCTCAGCCCCAATGTAATATGATCCTGAAATCCATATTTATTGTCGTAATCCACCGAGATATTGAAGTTGTGTATTACAACAACAAAAGTTAAGACATGAGAATATCTTGAGGATTTTATGTGATAATTCATGCTTCATGCAATGGCTGGCACATCCTAAATTCAAAATAAATGTTAAATTCTGTCGTTGGTGTCATCTCTCTATCTCCACTCACCCGTAACAGCTCTAGAAACAGAATTGGCATTGTTCAATATTTGTGGAATGATTGAAGATGAATTATTGAAATGTATACCCTTTCTAAAGTTAAATAAGGTGAATAAAATAGAGACTCACTTTGCCAGTCCTTAGAAATCTAATGGGACACCCAGTAAATTGTAAGGGACATAGTTGCTTGATCTTTGAAATACCTGGACTGAGGAAGCATATGATATGAATGATAATTTTTAAAACTACCAATAAATATTTTGGGCCAATATTTTTTGCTCTTCTGAAAGAGGAGAGTCAAGTTTTCTAGTATGAGAGTTCTGGAACTATAAGAAACTCGTCATCAGTTCTCTTGGTACCAAATACTCAGTAAACCTAAATAAGACTCAAATTCTTATTAATGGGGCTTTTTGAGAACGCCATTGCAGAGCAAGGACATAACATTCCTTCTGAGATTTTTAAGATTTTTTTTAAATTTTTTATTTATTTGACAGAGACACAGCGAGAGAGGGAACACAAGCAGGGGGAGTGAGAGTGGGAGAAGCAGGCTTCCCGCTGAGCAGGGAGCCCAACACGGGGCTCAATCCCAGGACCCTGGGATCACTACCCGAGCCGAAGGCAGACGCCTAATGACTGAGCCACCCAGGCATCCCTCTCTCTGAGATTTTTAGACTGTTGCCCCAAGTTGACTTTTGGAGATATAGTTGATAAGTTTTAAGGTCATTCATTTTTGTACCTTAAAAGGTTCCTACAAATAATAGCTCACTTTAAAGCTGTAGTAACAAGGGAAGAAGGGTGCTAAAAGTGGATAATAAAAGTTATGAGGGATTTATTTGGGGCCCTTTAAAATTAAGATGACACCTTGGAAGGGCACATCTTTATACAATTTGAAATGTCCCCTTGGGAAAAAAAAGGATGTCCCAGAGTCAGTGAAATACTATCTTGAACCTCCCTCGTTCTGAGGCCTGCAAAGCTTTAAGTCAGCGCTAAGATGGATGTTAACATTCATGAGCTCCAGAATTAATGAGACTGGAAACTAAATTCTAAATGGCACTTCTTATTCAAGGGGAAAAAACTCACATCAGACCATCAACACTGAGACATATCCTAGTAAAGTCCTGGATATCCAAGATAAAGAAAGATTTCCTTACAATGGAAACATTATATAAATAACATAATTCAAAGGAAAAAGAGGATAAAGAGGAAGGTAGTGTAGGTGTAGAGAGTTCCTTAACTTTCACACCCAGGCATCAAAGCTGATAAACATCATTTAATATGACTTTTTAAAATATACAAATAGAAACATTAAGAAAAATATAAAAGTCAAAAGTCAAAAACTAGAAGGAATACTGGGGAGAAGAAATGGCAATTGCTGATTTCACCATTTATATATACAGTAAGGAGTCAAAGAATGTTAAAGAAAAGTGGTCTTTTTTTTTTTTAAGATTTATTTCTTTGACAGAGAGAGACACAGCGAGAGAGGGAACACAAGCAGGGGGAGTGGGAGAGGGAGAAGCAGGCCTCCTGCAGAGCAGGGAGCCCGACGCAGGGCCCGATCCCAGGACCGTGGGATCACGACCTGAGCCGAAGGCAGACGCTTAACGACTGAGCCACCCAGGCACCCCAAAGAAATAGTGGTCTTAAGTATACTACATTCTTATAAAAATAAACCACTAAGAATTTAAATCTTTCATATTATCAGCAAAAGGAAAGACAAAACACAGACCACATAGTAAAAGACAGAAATAAAAGCATCAATAAGAACCAGAAGTATATCATTAATTATGACAAAAATAAGTTCTGTCACATCCACTTCAAGAAACTTATCCTTCAGATATATTTGTATATATGTGAATGATGGATGTACAAAGATGTCAACTGCAGAGTTGTTTGTAACAGCAAAAGCCTGGCAATGATTTACAAGTTTATTAACAGCAACTGATTGCATAGATTATAACAGAGCCACAAAATGGGATACTATACAGCAGTCAAGAAAGATTGATGCAGCTTCAAATCATACTGTTAGGTTTAAAACCAAGGTATAGAATACACAATCATTTGTATGAAAAAGCATATGCACGTATACACATGCCCGTGTACGTGTGGATGAATGTAGGTACACACTGTCTTTGGAAGAACAAAGAAATGGGTAAAAATAGATGTTACAAGACAGGGAAATTGGGTCAGTGGAGGATGAAGGCAAGAAGAGTAACTTTTCACCATGTATTCCTGCACACTCCCTGAACTGTGTACGTGTGCAGATTCTGTCTAACCAAAACCACATAAATTGAGTAACTTATAAAAGGCAAAAACCAAATTGGTTGACCTTGTTATGCAAGTGCCAATTTATAATGGGTTGGGCATCAACATAATTCCCTGCCTAGAACATCTCTGACCGTCCAGTTGGCTCCTGTGTGCCATTAAAAGATAAGGTTTTAACTTTTTTTTTTTTTTTTTAATTTTTTGAGAGAGAGAGAATGAGAGACAGAGAGCATGAGAGGGAGGAGGGTCAGAGGGAGAAGCAGACTCCCTGCCGAGCAGGGAGCCCAATGCGGGACTCGATCCCGGGACTCCAGGATCATGACCTGAGCCGAAGGCAGTCGCTTAACCGACTGAGCCACCCAGGCGCCCGAAAAGATAAGGTTTTGCCTTGAAGCCACTTAGAGCCAGCCTTAGAAGGGACCTGAACACGGGTAGCACCATCATCTAGATAGAAATGGTCCAGACCAGCAGCCTAATGCCTACTTCAAGAGAAGGGCAGAGAATGCCCAGCATTTGCGGCATGCTGATCAGATACGAGGAAACAGAGTTAAATCGGACTGGAGTCACAGCTATAGTTGGACGTATGGTGTGTCCAGGGGCATGCCAGGACAATCTGTGAAGCCATTATTAAGTACTCTACATTTTTTAACTTTTATAATGGAATGTCCATTCCCACTGAGAGCACCCTCCTGCAGACATCATTCAAAATGAGAAAACATTTCTTTCTTTGCCTGTATTTTGTGGATTTTTTCAGGTTTCTACTAACAGATTATAATCTCCAGACCTAGACCTGAGGCACAATTTACACAAGACTATTCACACAGTATGATCTTCCACAATTCACTGTTTCAAGGCATGGGGGAAAAAAAAGAATCACAACTGCCTAGGGAGAAAAGAGAATTATAAGGGCAGCCTCCCTCTTGAGAGTTGAATTTGATCCTTTAAGGCCAGCAATTCAATCTTTTAAAAGGCACATCTCTGTCCTAATCAATCAAGCTTTCATTTCCAATGGCAATAACCTTCCCTAGGCACTCAAGAAGTCAGAAACTAGAGCCTTCGTACATGAAAATTCAATATGGTATTTTCTACTAAGTTGACTTGCTCCTACAAACCGACCCAGGATTTTGTCAGCAGGAAATCTGATGTTCCAATATATCATGGGATGTCAACACCATCTATCAGTGCAGATCTGTCACATTAAATGGAAATGATGTGGTTTGCATCTGGAACTTCAGGAATAGAGTTTCTGATAAATTTGAGAAGAATCAAAGATAAGAAAT